CCCCTTCTGCAACGTCCTATCATGTGTGATGTTTTCCACGCAGAGACCAGAATTTCCTCATTTTAACTAGTTCTCAAAATGGTTTCGCACAAATTTGGTGATGGTTGCGTTGAACTCTCCGAATACCATTAGATCCATTTTTTCCCTTTTTGGTCATTTGCGAATATTCAGTTCCTTAAGATTCACTGTCCAGTTCACTTTGGCGCCTAATAATATTGTGAATGTATCCATTTCGTATCCACTTCTGTAACTTGTTTGTGACCAAAAATTGTTGAGTGTATTTTTTCAGGTTCTCGCCCATTTTAACACGTCTAAAGTTAAATTCGCAAAGCTGACTAAATCTGCAAAAATGATAACTTTTATTCAAAACAGCCTATGAGGCTGCGAGTTTGAGAGTCTTCTGCATAACTAAAACGCGCACCTGAATGTAAATCCATCAATTTGTTTTCTTATGAAACCAGAACAGAAAGGTATGGCGTCGGAAGACAGTCCAGATTGCAAACGATGAAAATATTGATGCCTGTTGTTATGTTTCTGTGCTCATTTCTGATTCTGGATTCCACCTGACCCCCACACCACACGAAAAATTAGCGTATTCCTAATAAAAAATCCAGAAAACATTATCAGTAAACAAACTCCTAATTAGCTACGCTTTTAAACATGTGCCGTGCTAGATCATCCAGATCGCTTTTTGCAGCAAGTAAGTCAGAATAGAAATGTTCAACCGAGAAAGTGATTTACTTCTTCACTCGAAACCACGTAAATTTTGCTCAGACTATTTATCAAAATCAGTTTCATGTAAACAGTAATGGGTCGAACATTTACTTTCGTACCACTGTTTCTGTCACACAGAATGTGGGAGTGGAAGAATATCTGTGGATTCTGTGATGGCAGTAAAGTTGACATATACTATAAACTCGATTAGAAACACATCCATCTCTTTAACCTGATTTGCGTTGTCATAGCCGAAGTAGCTGTCTAATGGACAATACTGGACTTGAGTGTCGTCAAGTCAATTAAACCCAACTGACCTGTACTTGGGCAAAATTTTAGCTTTATGGACTTTTTTATAGAAGAGTTCCCATTAGTTTCATTACTCCCATAAAAATTACTACGTTTGCATATCTGAGAAGCCAGTTTAGCAAAGGTTCATTATCGATAATCATATTTACGTCGGCAGAAGAAGCAAAGGTCATATTTATCTTATCTATGTGACGTGACCAGTAGCACTTGTAGTCCAAGCCCGATCTTTGCCTGTATATCCAACTTATATTTATCTAAACTATCCCACCCAAACTAAACAAATGTAAACCGTGGTAATTACGTGGAGCATTAAGGCCCTGATAAACATTATCGTAATCTCCCCTAAACTTCGCATTTTTGTGCTGCACACCAGCAGTGTTGGCATGTGTGTTACTCACGTGCCAATCGTAATTTACGCCTAGTTGTGTTGAAACCCTGCAATAGTTTCGAGACATGGTAAGTAAAAGCGTTGTAAGTGCGAAAGAAATAATTTATAGTTTTGAATTATTCTCAAAACTTTCCTTTGCTACGGGTGTAGTTGATAACGTTTTATACCTGAGGAAGCATACCCGTAAATCGATGGTGGGTATACCAAGTCTGTCGTGAATGAGAGTTATGTTGAACTTAGGGGGTAATTGCGGTCCGTGAATAATCATTAAAACGACGTCCATTGTACCCTAAAAGTACACACCAACCACAGCTTTACGGTCCGTCAGCAATTCATCAAGCATTTGTGCCCATACACATGGTAGCAAAATATGTTCCTCGTCTCATGAACGAGCCCTTAGGATGTAAGTATTACTTATAATGGGAATTCAAACAACTTTGCCAAAAATGTGACTGGTTTACTTGCGGGACCAGATGAAGTACATCTGAGTTTTGAATCCAACTCGTTGTACACAAACGTATTAAAGAGAGTGCTCTTTGGAAGTAGCCAAAGAGGTGTTAATTGCAACCGTCATACTTTCGTAAGGGGCAAACCTTATCCTAGGACGAAAGCGTGCGTGGATCTAACTAATTTGGTTTTTGGCTGCAAGCTTCAAACCGAAGAAAGTAGTCTAACAATGGAATATAAAATATCCTAGGCTTTGACTAACATCTTCATTGAATATTTTGAACAAAAACTCAAGCTGGTTTCCCGTACCCACATTTTTATGTCGTATAACATTTTTCTGTGTTTTAATGAGATAAGCTCAGTAAATTTTACCACTATCTAAATGACCGGAATCCTCAAATCAAATTTGGTATGAGGATAAATTCAACTCCAGACACTGACCTTCTTGAACTGTATGGCACATAATGTCGGTGGGAATTCAAAACTCACTGCATCAGAAGCCATCTAACACTGAAACAATTTTGAAATTTTCGATTGTGCATCTTGAGTCGGGTTTTGCTAGTAAATCCTCATTAGTGTTTAGCCATACAGTTGCTCTGTGCATGGAAAAAGTCGATCAGACATCTCTTTCCCCTGCACCGCAGAAGCCGGCAGTGGAAATCACCATAAGCTAAAGTATGTACATAATAGGTCACAAGCTGATCAAATTCGTTAAGAATTGCTGTGGTTCAATCGGACTGACTCGTTGTGATGGATGGTTGTCAACGAAGTTGAATCAGTAACAGAAGTACCCTAGGTCTGAAGTGCATAAACCAATCCGACGAAAAAACTCAACGTATTATCACCTCTACCCACCCAACTAAATTTTAATAGCAATTAAAAGCAAACAAATTTTATCAGTGGCACCCGAAAGGAATCACTAAATGAAGCAACCTAAACCGGAATATCGAGAACCCAGACCTGGTCACTATAACTGAAAATTTCTTCAACCCATCAACCATAAGTGTTAGCCCCCACATTATTCGACAATGCGTTTCAACTGACATTCAACACTGACCTGATGTGCTATTCAGAAGAGATCTTGCTGATCGGTTCACTGTCTCCCTTAACCCCAGCCATATTGGTAACCTGCTCACTTTGCCTAAAGAACCTGTTATTTCAAAGACGATACGCTGCCCAGCTATGGGATAACCAGCTCTCGACCACAGAATTCTGTTTATTTCACACTGCTTAATTAATCATGAATTTGTTTAGAAAGGATCTAGGATGCAATTACTGGGTTTTGTCTAATGAGCTAACCAGGCCGTTACATTGACCATACTGAATCAGCTAATACCAGTGCAACAGCCGGCTTCTGTAGTTTTCAAAAGAATTGTAAACCGTTCACAGATCGTCGTTACATCGATAGTGGTGTTCATGCACTTGTGATTTTGTTTCTCTGCCACTGGATGGTTACCCTGGGATGAGACGACACTTAATAAAGGTATCGGCATGTGGTATCTATATGTCCGGTTCTACTTATTGGTCTGCTCCTCAAAAATATTGGTTTGTTTTGCAAACGTCTTGGTACCTTTCAAAGAGACATTCGTTGCTCAACTTACGCCCATTGAGGATATCTTCTGAGAGTGAAGTACACCAAACTTGTGACGAGACGTTTTCAGGCCACTCGCCGGTACCGGCAAACAGATAAAGAATAAACAACGGCACCAAACTACCGGTGTAATGGTGATACTGCTGACCGGGAGGCACGCGAGTAGTATGTGTCGTTCGTAGAATTTTGCGTCGGTTGCGTCGATTGAAAAATGAAGTTCTGTTGCGGAATTCGCGGGGCCACTTTGTAACATTTGCTTTTATTTGACCGACGAATGGTTGGAGGCAATGAATCTACAGGAAGACTCGTTCGGGAGAAGATCTGTGTCCAGTTTTTGTAACTAAGATGCAGATAAGAGTTTTGCTTCCTTGTTCGATGGTCTGTAACCGGTCAGTCGGCATTTCCGAATAAATAACTCCGCAGCGAAGGCCTTCTTCTTTTCACCGGTACTTCGACAAATCGACCCGTTCTATACATGTGTGGAATAACAAACTTGAGACGCCCAAGTCGCGGATATGCAGGCCGACGTACGTCGCTAGTGACGTAAAAATGATCATGGCTTAAATTTTGCCTCAGTAAACACTCACATACATAATCATACCCTGATACGTTAATCCGCTTGAAAGTGGAATAAAAAATTGGTAAGCAAAATGTTATCCAGCCACGCCAGACCTTTTTTTACTGAGGTTAGATTGTTACATCGAGGGGCAGGTTCTGTACATCGATCGGTTTAGTTCTCTATTTTTTATTGATTATGAGTGTCTTTCCTGTACATTCTGCGTCCCCTTTTTAACTGTGTTCGCTCGGTTCCTATAATTTAATCGTGAGATATGGAAACCTGAATGAAAGGATATGGAAGCACTGATATTAAATTTCTGAACTCATAGTCCTCATGGAGAAATCATCGTTACATATATTTTTTTGTTCTAACATGTCAGTCAAACGGAATTATGCCTGCAATTTGTCAGACAAATTGGTTTCCAAATCTTGGTTTTAGTAGACTGACTGTACTCCCAATATGTCACGCTTGGCAAACGTGTCAATCAGACTTGGTAGCATAAATCCTTCTGCACCACCAGGCTCATGCTGGCAGTTTGTAAAAGCTGCTTGATAAACAAGAGATTTACCTGGGTTTCAGGCGAGTCTTCCGTGAAAAACAACTCAATATTTAAATGAGTATATAGTTGTGGAAAACTGGGTTATTCATTTAAAAAAAAAGTCATATCCGTCTCTCTGTTTGTTCAACACACTAACCTGGCTTAAAACGTACGTTTATGGTGCCATTTCAGAAGGCAAACTAACGGCTACTTGGATAACCCAACTTCTTAGCGGTTTCCTGAATGGAATCCGTTTGCCTCATCCATTGTCCTTCATTCCAGACGGGCAGGTTCAACACATTCACAGCCCGTGATGCTGCCAGGGGCCAGTGATACTGCTAATCAACTTTTCTACGGGTAACCTTTTAATCACCTCTATCTACTTGTCCATCGAATGATGCAGATGAATTAGGGTGGATCATTATCACCTTGCGTCTTTTCTTGTCGCTTTCAGTTATCCCTGATGCATTTGGCAGAAAGCGGCATCCGACTTACCTGGGGTTCAATGGACCAGGGCGCATATCCTGCAATATTATCGCATCTCCGCCGGTGGAAAAAGTTGAATGGCGGAAGATGGACGCGGTAAACGCCCACATCAATCCTATGTCTGTCATCACACCCAACAGAAGCAAACAGCGTTGGCCCATGTTGTTTGACGCTGGACAATTAGCAAGAACCAGAGATCAGAATTCCGTGAGTAGCACTTACCTTGCGCTTCAGACAGCGTAAATGAGACAAAAACACGGGGGATAGGTTTTAATCAGATCACGGGTTTTTTGGACATAAAAGAATATACAAAAAATGAAAGCCATTTTCACTCAAGTAATGCACTGTATTCTTCGAATTCATTTCTCAGCATATTTTACATGTTCATATAGGCAGTCAAGAAGTTGATTCTGTGGCTCTGCACATGATGGCTTTTCATCTTGAAGGAATTCCTCGTGAAAGCTGAGACTGAATGAAACTACACTGGAATTCAGCCAACACCATTCAAATATTATGCTGCCTCGCTCCATGATGTAACTTTTGATTTAGCTTATTGTAGCTGTTTTTATGGATAAAAGGAGCCAGATGAGTTAGTTTTATCAAATAACAGATTAACGCTGGTTAATAATCTATAGTCCATCTCATAGAGAATACAGATCAGTGTCCAGCCGAAAGCAATCACTTTTATACTTGCTTGCCAAAAGTTCTCAAAATTTCGGTACTCAAAACAACTGGACTACGTTCACCTGTTTTGCAAATCGTTTTTTACCGTTTGTCATCCGCTTGTTCGGATGCCATGTTTTTAAAGTATCTCATTGTTTTCGCGCTATGACAGCTCGCCACAATCTATGGCTTGTCATAAAATCCAAGAAGTGGACCGCGTGAACCAAATGACCGTTAAGTTGTCAAACTGTCACGCATAGAAAGGTCTACAAATCACGCTGAAACAAAATGAAAAAAGTGTTTGACTTTTTCACGCAAACTCAGGTTTGCATAGAAATTCAAGGTCAATAATGTAACAAATGAAAAATGATTGAGGATTCAAAAAATGTCCAAAATCTAATGCCTTTAAGCAACATCATGAGTAGTGTGTTAGGTTGAAACAGTCCAAAGTTAGTACGAACCATGGGACGTACTCATCTCCTCCAGTGACAAAATTAAACACAACATGAACAGGATGCTCAGTAAACAGTATCAAAAAGGGGGCTTTTGCCCAGATACACATTAGTCACAAAGGATCTATACGTTTTATCTAGGACTTCTTTGTTTTTTTGATCTTAAGCGCATGCGCTGTTCCAATATACGCGTAGTTTAGTTGAGACGTAGACCTAATGGTAAAATAAAGCCTTTCGCAAATTTCATTGTTGTATTCGACTTTCCCTATGCTATTTGACTCCTCATAATTGGTAATCGGCACAAAGTTTTCTGAGTTCATTTACATCACGCCAGGGCGGTTTCTGCTTAGTGATAGTGCTAAAAAAAGACAAACTGTTTGCTTTGGTTCGACCATTAGCCTTTCGGTGGATTCTTGATCAAACATGCTGGTGAGTGATCTCAACAATCATTCAGTTAATTGTCAAAGCTGTTAACTATGAGTGAAGTAAATGTGGTACTGGATGTAAAAAATTTGAGCCATGCCGGTGAAATAGCTGAGGCTCCCAAAGTGGGCGAATAGTCATCAAACACACGGACTGTTGACCGTAAATTACAGGCTTTAAGATCTGAATAGGGATTTATCAACCTGGTTATCTCGCAAGTAAATTAAAGCCCGCTGTTTGGCCGCCATCTCCAGCTTTTGATCACACCTATATGTTGGCCGTCTAAATGATGCTCACATTCACGAGAGACAACTAAGTGGGTGATATTAACACAGTGGTTGGTTCTAGTTTTATACTCCATAACAGCCAGTCTAGATCAGAGGGCTCATAAAGTTTCAGCAAGAAGTGAATGTGAACATCATAGTCCGGAAGTACGTTTTACTTTAAGCGAGAAATTTCCTCGTCTCGGACGGTGAGCTTGCGTGTGTGTGCGCAGCTTTATGACTGAGTTTGATTTTGCCAGACAGTTTACGTTTGTTAGGCTCAACAAATGATGGACCTGAACGGTGTTTCTTGGCTCCTCGCCCGCCAGAGTTCTGGTCTAGACTGAACTGAACCCATTAATTCCAGCTGCAGAGTTTTGCCTTATTGGGAAAGGTACACCGTAAAACTGATCCTATTGCTTTGGTGGTATGGTATCTTTGGGACTGACTTAACAGTTGGAGATACTGTCACTTGCTGAGATGTAGGTTTTTTTTGAATTATGTGTTTTACAAACTTCGTTTAATGAACCGTAACTTAATCACGTTTACATTTAGAGTCCGTTAATGTTTAATCAACCGTTGAAATCCTTAGGCGCCATGTTGATGCTCTTTATGTGGCTCGTATAAAATTGCAGATTTTTTTACTATTCATTCGTCTGAGTGACAGTGAAAATGGATTTGGCTTAGAAGGTACTGGTGTGGAAAATGCAAACTCCGGCTGCACGAGTAATATATCTACTCAAACCACTTATTTACCGATACGGGATTTCAGTTGGACAGTACTTACGGAAATCAGCATTTATCTAGAGAGGTGGCCTCTCGTAAAGATTTTACGCATGGAAAATTGAAGTAACGCAAATGTACTTCTTAGCTCGGCAGTCCACTGGACTAGAGGTTTATTAGTCATGTTCAGCACCAAACGTCTACAAGTCTATGCTACACATCAAATCCATAAGAGTTCATGCCACATATGCGCAATACTGCAAAATGATTCCCAATTGATTTTTTGACGAGTTCATGTTTGCCTAATAGATTTAGGTGTTTTGTATGGCTACTGGCTGGAAAATTAACCTACTGACACAGGTACACCTATCTATAAAGCTTCGATGCCAGAGAATGCACATTTTACGTTCGTACAGATTTACCAAACTAAATGGTCTAGGTGTTCTTCTGAGTCCTTTAGATTCCTCATCATACACACCGACGTAGCTTGACAGCGTGGGTTATGAAACGCCCAAAATCACCTGAAAACTCCTAAACGACCATAGCGACGACAAGTCTAACCATTTTGAGATAAAACCCGAGTTCAGGTAATTTGGAAACGATTTTACTACCTACACCATTGAACGACCTTATTCACCATGTGATCAGTCGCACTTAAAAAATTTCATGTGTTGAAATCTTCGAAAATTATGCTGCCGTAACCTACACTATACTCAAGATAGCAATTTATCTGGAAAATTAGATATGTGACACACGGTAAGTCATTTGAACTCGTTGTGTGTAGACATTTTTGTGGCTACACGAGAACAAGAAAACGATGGTGATAAGTTCATCATCTGGGCGAATACTGTTCACGAAGAACAGATACTTTTATATAAATAACCATATTAAAACACAACACAGGAATATACAATCATACTTTGGAAAAATGAAACAATAGCTCAAATATATGTGCAGCCTATCGGCTGGAAAATGGATGACGCTCACACTTTATTGACAGGAACGCTCGTCACAGATACCACATGATTGGAAATGCATGAGTTTATTCACATCAGGCTAATGATGCTGATAGTGTGAGCTCAGTTCCCCGGATCGCACTGAATGTGCCCCTAGGCACGTTTGAAGCTGGGGCCGAATTTGTAAGTTAGCGTACGAAAATGGGAAGGAACCGCACTCAAAACAAAGGTGTTTTCCATAAAAACATGCTTAGATTGGAGAGGAAAACAGTTCTGCTCTGTGATTAAAAGGATTTCCGAAAAGACACATGCCTTTTTAAAATGCTGAGCAGCTGCAAATAATGCGTTCATTTTGGCTTGAGAAGTTTTAATGTTTTCCCATCTACTCTACGTAACGGATAGTACTGACATGTGGAGTCTTTTTCGCGTAATTTTCTATCAAAAAGCACTCTAGCTTAACAGGTGCTTTCCGAATTGGGTTGTTTTGAGCATGGCTTTGGTTTGTTCGGGCTGAATAAACAGCACTTGCGACAGATCACTTCCATGTTCTCAGTCACATCAGGCTAATGATGCTGATAGTGTGAGCTCAGTTCCCCGGATCGCACTGAATGTGCCCCTAGGCACGTTTGAAGCTGGGGCCGAATTTGTAAGTTAGCGTACGAAAATGGGAAGGAACCGCACTCAAAACAAAGGTGTTTTCCATAAAAACATGCTTAGATTGGAGAGGAAAACAGTTCTGCTCTGTGATTAAAAGGATTTCCGAAAAGACACATGCCTTTTTAAAATGCTGAGCAGCTGCAAATAATGCGTTCATTTTGGCTTGAGAAGTTTTAATGTTTTCCCATCTACTCTACGTAACGGATAGTACTGACATGTGGAGTCTTTTTCGCGTAATTTTCTATCAAAAAGCACTCTAGCTTAACAGGTGCTTTCCGAATTGGGTTGTTTTGAGCATGGCTTTGGTTTGTTCGGGCTGAATAAACAGCACTTGCGACAGATCACTTCCCATGTTCTCAGTTCCGCTCCCCTATTTTCTTTGTTTTTGCCATACCTCATTTTGTTTTTAATTTGCTCCCTTTCCACACCTCTTTTAAATCTTGATAGGTTGCAAGTTTCACCATATAATTAATATCGATTTCCCACATATTCCTTTTGGTTAGTCTCATGGCTGCCTTGTTCATGTTAAGTGTGGTGGAAATAGGATGCTGCAAAATTTACTATTCTCCACAAAATTGTCTGTTCCCTGTCAGTCGCTCAGCTACACGCTTCTCCGCGCTTCATAAAAGTAGAAATTTCAGAATCACAGGTAGGAAACGTCGAAATTTCTTGAAATCTTATGTTCATGGCCTAAAATGTATTGCTTAGATCGAGGATATGAGATGAGCAATCCTGAGGGACGTCATATAATTTCAGAAGCTAAACGAAACCCACATCCTGCAGATGACCCGTTAAACTGTTTAGTATTGGCGGCCTCGTTATTTGGAACATTGTGTGCAGCGTTATGGCAAAATCATCAGGTAGCTCTTCCAGTCTATCGTGCACTGCATAAAGTCAATCCAGCGGAGATTAGATCATAAACTGACAGGACAGAATGAAAGTCACGACCATTAAGCTGCGTCATTCTGGTAGCTATTAGAACAGGACATACAGATGGTTGGAGATACAACCCACTAACATATACCGATGCTCGTGCACGAAGTCCTCGCCACCAGCGTTGGTTTATCTTCATATCATCATCAACACAGATAGCAACACCACAAACACAAACGATCATGTCATCATCGGGTCCACAGGCCATATGTGCGGACATTAATCCAGAGTATGTACTGCATTATCTACATGTATAATGTCGCTGGAGAGCAAACGGTGGAAATTGCGTCAAAAATACCTGTTCAGTTGCTATTATTCGTCAATGAGCAGACGAAGTTTGTTTACTACTAATAGGCAAATTCGTACGATTTCCTGAACTTACGCTTACGGCAAGGCTATAAAATAACTTTGATTCAACTTTTGTGACTTTCTCGTACACTTCCTACACCTTAAAAGGATGCAGTGACCTACTGGTACGAATGGGCTTTCGTCGTTTGGGAGGACGCAGGGTTTTATCAATGCCGGGGACAGAGTCGCCTTGGGTGGAGCGCATGGTCCGACAAATTTGAGATTATCGTAGCAAGTAAGCAAACCTGATGCAGCATGCACGACTAATGGTTGAACTGTGTGAGATAACTGCCATTTGTTGTTCGCGAAAAAGCCATATATTTTGCCCATGCGCTGCACTTTTCCTCGCCGACATATATATCTAACATAAATCACAGCTGTCTGAACATTGCCGTCCAATTATGTCTGATGCGTGGCATTAGCAGCAACCATGGCAGCAGAAATACAAACCAAAAATATTGTTGCACATGTTACAACACAAGGAGCACTGCAGAAAGCACCTGTTTGCTTGAGGTTGTCTACTGTTCGTTGGTCCACTGCCAACCAGTGTCCGTCCAGTGTCCGGTGTATATGAACATTCAAGAATCATTGTGTTCCTGGTCTTTACGGTCTTTCACCTACTCTTTTCAGGAATGGCAGTGAATTCCTCAGCCAGTGCCTTTCTAGTATATTTGCTTCTATCAGTGAATCTAGAATTCCTCATCAAGACCAACGTTTATGTGTAAGGCATGGTTTTTGTGTTCTTACCACATATAAATTTCGGAACCTCTCCAAAACAAAAAACTGGTTTACTGGTAGTAAAGTGGGCATCATTTTCCACTTTTGTCAAAGCCGCTTATTAAATGATGATTCAGGTTATACAGATTACATTCCAACCATCAGTAATAGGACAATGTCACCCAAAGTGGTTACCAGTTTGCGTACTCAGAACCACAGACCAGCAACAATCCGTCGCACTTTCCGGTTGTTTCTGGTGTCCTAAGGTGGCGGGACCGAACTATAGGGGATACTTGTCGAATTGTCTGATAAGTATAGTAAAACGCGCTTGTTAATGCATTGATTCTTTCGAAAAGTTTTAATCAGTGTTAATTTTGTATTGTTATAAGTAGACCAACTTAGTCATACCTTGTAGCTTCAAGAATATAGGAGGGGAATGCCATCAAGACCATATGGAACGCTAAGTGCAGCTTTCTATGTGTCTCTGTAGTGCGCACAAGCATTATTCCGCAGGAAAACGGAAATTATCATCCTGATTCACAGAACAGTATGTTACTCAAACAAATTTGGTAGATTTACCCGTGAATTCTCGTGACCCACTGCTTGCAAGCCATAAGGCACTTGTCATCGGGCACTGGTAGTCAAAGGCCTGGCGAAAAGAAAGTCTGACTCGCTTTTCCAGCCTATTATCTTCACTGTCGCATTTCACATCAAATGTCCCTTTGAAAAGATGTTTTTATCTTCTGTTCACCTCCATCAAATCTACGGATGGAACCTTCAAATGTATACGGTCCAAAGCGCGTCTCTTAATGTTGTGACCTAGAGAGGAAGGCAGAGTTTGGCGGGTTTCTGGGACATGAGGTTTGGGAACACAATGTAAGTATGCAGGTCTTGCTGAAATAACAAAACTTATGAGCAACAGATCACAAAAGATGATTCTGAGCTTCTCGCTAATAAGGAATGGTATGGACAAAGTCAGTGCCGCCATTCAGCCATGCACACACATCCTTCCTACAACAAAAAGGGATAATGGGTTAGCGTAGCTACCCTTTCCCGACTAAAATTTAAACTCACATCCAAGCCATTTCACGCCCAAGTTCAACAATGTCCTAAACTTTCTCACCATTTTCGCAAGTAAGTTTACTTCATCGCGGCACATTTTTGATCTCAGTCTGTAGAGGGGATGACGGCGGACCATTGGCTGCCCCTGCCGTAAACACCAACAACACTCGCTTCAGACAGTAGGGCTAGCCTACTCGCATCTGCACTGTGTTCAAAGGGTTAAGCTACGCCTGCACACAGGTGAAAGCACTGGAGGCTGGAAAATGTAGCATAGTCAGCTTGTCTACACCATGTTGGTTGAAAAGGACTTTATACTCCGATAGCAAGCTTGGTAAGGCTGATTGGTCTATCTTGACAAAAATGGCGGCACACGAGCTCACCCACTACACTCCTTATTTTTTATGGTGTTCAAATGGGTTTTTTTCCAGATAATTCTCGTGGTTCATTTGCACGTTTTCAGCACCACCGACATTTAGTCTGAGACCCCCAGATATACTGACCGTTCACAAAAATTCCCTGGTTCGGCTGCAGTGTCAAGCTGATGGATTTCCACCTCCAAAAATTAAATGGGTCCAGGTGAGTATTGTTTTGACAACACAAATGAGCGACAGACAAATCAGCTGTTTGTCGGGTCAATTTTGTAATTCAGGTTGCAACTGCTGTTGAAATTATTTTTTCGTCCTTCTTTGTGGGTAGAATGAGACCAATAGTAAAAAAAACACCCAGTCTCGATTCTTCTGAGTGGAACCCATCAAGTGAATGTAGCGATATCGGTCGTCTATACCATCGGTTAAAGTTTCTCGTTGTTTCCGCAAATAAACATATCAGCTTGTTTTGTTTTTCCTTTAAACAGTATTCAAGGGGTAACTTTAAAAAAGCAAACCTCACACCCTAACGTTTAATTTGGTAATATGCCACACCACCATGTTCCCTTGAAGTAGATGCTGTGGAAGGTGTCCATGCAGGGCTTTCATGGGAATCGTTTCGCCCCATATTCGCCATTACGGTATAGGTCACATAATCTATCCCGATTTGATAGCCGTGGAAAGCCCCAATTCATGATTTTTCCTCACCAATCTGCGATTCATATAGTGAGCTTGTTTGTAAAGTCAAACATCTCTTGATCTTAAGAAGTTACTTCTGAATAGAGAATTCGGTTTACTGTGTTTTGCTAGAGATGTTTACCCTTATAATCTGCTGCACAGTGGTCGTTTTTGATACCTTATCTTTAGTCAAGACCGTCAGCTTTTCAAAATGATGCATATTACACCAACATTGATGGTTCCGAGAGTGTGCAACCTACAGCGCACGACGATTCACTTGTCGATGACACAGGCAAACTTGTGTACAATCCAACAGTGTCACATACCATCGCGCCATCCTTGCCAAGAACAGCCGAGGCTGCGGCAGACGGCAGTCTCAGACTGCTAGTTACTGAAGCAATTGATGTGGAAGGCCTTTTCCACTGCATTGCAATAAATGTATTTGGCCACGTCATATCAACGGTCAAACTCCTGTACAGTAATAGCTCAAAGGGGAATAAGGATGTCCGAGAGATCTCATTCCACTTGCACCCAAAGTTGTTCGGTGTTTGGATTTCATGGAATGCATCCAACGCTCTCGATTCGCGCTTGGGAAAGGCAATTTTAACACCAAATCAACAAACACTACTGTACCATCCTGCTAGCTCTCCAGGAGTTCAGGCTTGTAGCCACGTCATCTACTACCGAATTATACGCTCAGAGGAGCGGTGGAATTCAGGTACTTCATTTTGTTTATTATATAGTAATATAATTATTCATTTGCAGAAAATAATACTTGTTCGCCATCTCGTTACTCTGATAGCCACTTTGCGTATATTCAGATGTTTATATTTCCTTGCTCGCTGTCAAAATTTAGTGGAGAGTTGTCTATCTGTGTTCTTCAAGAGATTCCTGTGGTTATTTATTTTTGTGGCTTTCTGGTTTGAATTTTAGGCTAGAATAGCACTGACTCGACTACCCTTCATAGTTTTGTCAGGCAGGTGTTCGATAGCCCTCATTTCAATACATGGGCTATATACGAATCCTGCACATGTCAATTGATTCGTTGGGACTAACCGATATATGACCGATATGAACATTGCTGATACTCTAGGCCACATACCTGAATAACGTTTTCCGCCGTAAGCAATAAGATTTCATTATTTTTTAACTTTATGCACCAGCTTGGTTTTAATAAAACCTTCAACTATTCATGTGTATTGTGCCAGGTTAATGTGGCTGAGTTGAGTTTACAACTAAAGTTGCTTCCTTAATGTCAATAAACAAGTCATCATCTTTTCAAATTTTACTACGCTGAAATCCACAGAGTTTGTCTGTCTTAGTGACTTCCTACAGAGTATAATGTCGGTAGCTCAGGTAGAGCAGATGTTCATTGGCTTGTTCGCTAAGCTGGGCAACTTGACTGCAAAAGTTTCATCACCAATCAAGATGACATCATTAGTGTGTTATTGGGGAGCGTAGTAGTGCGTAGCGGTGGGTTAGCGGTAGCACTGGAGCACTGGAGCTGTTTAGTATGGCAAGTTATTTTTTGTTCAACTTTAATCTCTATCTATGTCTCTATCTCTATCCACGATATTGGGCGGTTAGCAAAAGAGTTAGACGCTGCCATTTCAAGAGAATACTTTCTACAGACTCTCTCAAACGATTTTCATGTCTCATACCAGTTCGTGTTCAGCCGACAGCAGCTGAAAACTTATGGGTCGGGAGTCTTATTCCGGACGAAATTTACGCATTCAAAATGGAGCGATGGTGTAAGGCTGATGCACCCTCCGGTCAGAGTAAGGTTGTTGTGGTCAAAACGGAACACGAAGACTCACCTGGATCCAAGTTCAACGCATTCCTATTAGAAACACCCGATTCTCCTTTGCAGACAAACCCACGTAAGAATATTTATATACATGATGTCGTATTCTCACCATACATTAGGCACATTTATGCGACGTAATGTGCCTCGTTACTTACATCATTGTCATGACCAAGTCGGTACATATTGATTAAGTATTTGACAATGTCGCTACTATAGTATGCAATATTTTTCACTCGCCATTCAGATTATCAAGTAACACTCTATGCGGACATCCATCTTCGGGGCAACACTACCTCACGGTAGCGTAGTGTCAACATCAGATTTCGATCTGCCTTTTTTGATCCCGCTGCATGTTGAAAACGGTATGCGGCTGCAAGCATTCAAGAGAGCACTGTCAATATATCTTGTAAATGGTCAAATGGAATGTCTTTTCAAAATACGTCAGTTCACTTACAAGCTGACACAACTGGTTATTGGTTGCTTAAAGACACCCCTGAGAGAGATCTACCCCGTGGCAAAGGAGCTTAGCCCAAGGGAAACACAACAACCTTCCGTTTTCGATGTCTGAAATGTTAAAATTTGGCAGTCTGTCTTCAGACATGACAAAAGTCTTAAGGTTTCGTTGTTTGGTGCATAAAACAAGCCATCGGTTGCTACAAAACTCCAAAGTTCTAAGTAAGTTTCCAAAATTCACTTAACAAATTTAGAACAACAGATCGCCGGTATCTACACCGATGAATACCTGACTAATGTTACAAATTCCACTTCTCAATTTCAAAATTGACATCTTAGCAGCCACCGTTCCTGATGTCGCTTATAAGGATGATGATGATGAATTAGTTTGCGGGTTCATTTTGCTTTCAAGTTCCACTGAGGTTGACGGCGTCACGAAATCCAGCAGTAATCTTATGTGTAAAGGTTGGCAAATCTTCCTGTGAAGTCAAGTTAGAGCAAGAATAAAACAGAAGCGGTGCAGTCAGACGGCAGTTGGCCCATCGGTTGATCCAGATAGTATTCACTGAAGTATAAACTTGAAATTCTTGTGCAATCTAGGGTAGTTAAACGGAGAAGTTTTCCTTTAATCCTCTATACCTTTTATGCAGCTTGCCACGAATCAGTGGGGTGGCTTTTCAATGCATATAATAACGTCAGGGAAAAGTCGATTTCACCTTCATGGTTCACTCTTAGCCAATTTTTTATCGGAATATATTGTCTCTGTGTAACCATATACGTTCCGTATGAAGAAACTTTACTACGTTCACCCTCCAACAACTTTTTATGGACAGGACAGTGAATTAAACGTTCCTAATCTGTTTCAGATAGGTTTCTTTCTGGGTGCGTTGCCCAAAGTGTAAGCCATTTATGCAGCCACCCATTGTGACTTTGACCTCGCTCTCTTGCATTTGTTGTTGCGTATTTCAACTTAAACCCGGTTACATTGAGTTCCAACTACTCACGGCTATTGCTCCGGCGATGCCACAAGGAGATTTTTTGCCTTATTTGTGTTCCTGGCTGGGTATTGTAATCGAAAGCACTCACTACACCCATTCGTTGGGTACCTAGACACAGAAGCGGCTAGCAGTTTCAGAAAAATTTCACAACTCTCGTTCACGTTACTGAGACTGCAGTCGCACCCATTTGACCACTTCAAGTGACGCGAATGCACCCCGTTTGCTTTGTACGAGAGATATAGGCTAAAACTAGTCCAATTTATTCAAGACAGGTTTCAAGAATGCATCTTTGTGATCAAGACAGAGTTAATTTCCCAACAAAATGGGAGCGTGATTCCACTACATTCTTGTTTTAGTTTACTGAGTTTCAGCTCATAAATATCTTGTGTCACAGGCTAGCGAGGACTGCTGATCAGTGGAGAGATCCATAAGTAGTCTTTTATCCAGCGATGATCAACAATAATCCTTCACTAACTCCGAGAAAAGCCATGTGCAATAAGGCTGTCCATTATTAATTTTCAGTGCAAGTGGAAAATAGTACCAACATCGTGTTAGTGCGTCGAATAAGTTGTGCAGCCCCCAGACCAGTGGTTAAATGAACCCACAGTTTACTGACTAATGTAACTTTCTGAGGAAGATCGTTTTACTCACTTATGCTGTTTAATTAAGAAGGTTCCGAATCGTTAGCACACCAAGATTTTGTTGAAACTGACGCAACTTGGGATGCTGACAGATTCACTCCACATGTGGAACGCTGGCTCCTTAGTGCTTAAGCAGATTGACTGGTGAGGATACTGAGGCCACGTTTTGAAGACCGAAAGGGAAGATGTTCAAACATTACCGTTTGTTTCGACTATAGATAGTTCAGTAGTTGCCTTTTCAACATCATTGCTTGTCATTCAATGCTGAACGAAAATTTGCAGTCTAGTCTACAAGTAGACACTTATAACAAAACACTGTTAATCGAGAACACACTTGTCGGGTTAAACGTGCTCTGAGAGTTTTTGGATGCAACATTCAGTATTTAAGTACAATATAGAACAAATACAACTATATGGAGCACCCGCTTGGCAGATGATACCCTCTAATGACTGCTTGAATTGCATCGACTGGTTTTGTTTGTCACTTGTTGTTGGACAGTAGTACTAGTTCTGTTTTCCGGATTTAAATGGCATGGTTAGATAACATGACTGTGCAAGTGTCTTTGTATTAACGAATCGTCTTCTCATGATGGATTTTTAGAAGGAAATTTTGGGAAAGCAATGCTTTAACAGCTGATGCGTTGGTTGCCTAGTGTAACAAACCTTGGTATTACTTTCCTGGTGAATGTAAAACTTATGTGTAGGGCATTAACCATGCCCCACGAATGCTGGCTGATTTATGTTCCTGTTGCTGTGCGGCAGAAGACACCGGCCATAAGACAAAGGTTCTGAGCCAAAATATAATGGGGCATTGACCGATCTGGTTTAACTGTGGATGCGGAACGAGTAAAACTATAATCATTGCACAATATACGGTTGTCACTAATTACCACTTAAAAACAACAGATTCAATTCAATCTCCCCAGTCGGCATCGAGCCCTCTGTCTAAGCTAATGCGGGGGTACCCTGCCAACCACTGTTAAATGTTCTCTGAAAACAAAAAGCAATCCACACGAACGGAGAATCTCTGAAGTTCCAGCCCCACACAAATGAATGCCCGTATACCGGACAGTTCTGCCTTGAACAAGATTATTTTCTTTCGTTGGCATATCTTGTGACTACACTCTCGTCGGTCAACCGCACTTGATGTTTAGCAGCCTTTAGGACAGGTCCATCAAGCAAAGTTGTTCAAAAAGCTGTCATCTCTTTTAAAGCTCGAATCATTTTCAGTGCAACAACATCCCTGTATAAGTAAAAACAGCTGCATGTAGAGGACCGTCTTGACAAATTTTGTCGTCGACATGGGTATGTTTTCGGACACCCGTTCAGCTCATTGGTTGAATTGTTTGCACACGTAAGCGTTTTGACGCCCAGACTATCGTTGTATTGCCATCCGTCATATACATTACACTACGTTTGAAATTGTAGCGAAGGACAAGAATGATACATGGTGCCATTAACAATTCTGGTGTACGTTGGGTCATGCCATGTTTAAAAAGTGGAGCTATGTTATCAGCACAAGGATCACGCTGTCAAATTCATATCAGTGGTCCTCTCTGTAAACATAACTTTTCCGCAGTTTCTTGGCCCTCCGAAGACAGCAGATTTTGTAGAAAGCCCCCCGACAACAATCAGTGAGCACCTACTGGGTGGCTTCTACTTATAGAGGACTCATTTAAGCAGAGGCAGCTACCGCATAGATACGCGTTCCATGAGAAATTTATACTTCATCCTTTGTGGAACACTTGAAAATTTTGGATTCTTCTGCTTCGGTCGTAAACTCCAATAGTAGACCAAGTAAGCTTTTTTACACCAAAATTCCAGCAAGTATTTTGGGACTTCACTGAATGTCGATGAACAGCAAGCAGGGGACACAAATTAGATATGCTGCAGGTAGCATTAACAAAAGATCAATCAGACAATCTGAATAATTTGTATATACATATATGTATATATATGTACCAATGCTCTTAATGACATAAATTAGCAAGCTTGTCATCCAGCTTGCACGTGCCAGATGAAATTGCTGGTAAATAGCAAAAGTAATTTACAGCTCCACAAAGCACAAGTTTCTATTGCTCATGATTCAATAAGGTTGATACACACTGACCGCAAGCCTATTCTTCACTGTCTTTTCGAAAACAATGTATCGTAATTGAGTTTGGACATAGAAACTAAAAAGGACTGACAGGATGCTAACTCAAAGCACTAGAGTATTGAAGAAAAATGCCGGATATCTTTTGCGTTCGTAACCATGACAACCGGACATGTTAGACACGACTTCAGTAATCGCAACTTTTGGAATTCACTGTTTAGAGTAATTTGGTCCCTACACAGATCAAGTTCTTGGAAAATTGGTGAAACTGAATAGTTACCTGGTGATATGAACATGGTAAACCAGGCTTAGCTCCTTATTGGGATCATTTGCATGTTGTAAGGAAATATTTGGTTCTAAAGTCACCAGAAATATCACTGACAGCAACACCAGATAAAAATATTGAGGACATAAATCCACGGGAAGGGAGAGGACATATCACCAGACTATCACCAACGTCCGAGGGTCCTATTCCTCCAACGTTAAGTCAAACATTCTGGATGATAAATATCCACAGATATCGATTAACCACCATTTTGTCCCTCGTCTCCCATGCAACATAGGGAAGGTTACGTGAACCTGATCCTGGAATGCGAACATTACCTACAGCACCCAAATTTCCTGAACATCCCTCCATTCTACCATGCCAAGTCTTGTACACCTCTGGGTATCCTCCACTCCAAATTAGGCAAGGAGAACACCGCCCTCCTCGTTAGTCAATAACTCGGAAGACGTGACGCAGGGCCCAGAAAATTTACCTTTCAAAACATACCATCAAAGAAGCACCTTATTCTTCCCCGAAAACACGTCTCCTGGTTACCTTAGTTCGCGTTTGCCGGTTGCAGGAGATTCCAGCCATAGTTCCGAGATATAAGCGGTCAAAGACCTGAAGAGTAAAAACTAGCCTGGGGATATTTATAAGTTTCCACTTGATGAACAATTTCGAAGCATAATCCCGAGCTAATTTGAAAATGCAACTCTCCAACTCTTAGTAATGCTTACCGACTATTCACAGCCTCATTGAATAACTTGACTAGCAACCCATGCATATGTGCTCAGAGGCTCACTGGAGAGTCAAACTTTTGTCAGCTGATCAGGAAATTGGATCTTCAAAGTTAACTTATATTGACATCTGTTTCGCTCAATTCAAATGCTGCCATACGGGTCAATAAAGTCAATAGACGAAAGACATTGATAGAACTTAGCACCGAACTATACAGGCTTTCATAAGTTATGCTGTTGGTGCGATTATATCCCACAAAACATGAGCGTTTGATCAGCACCATGGCTCCAGCCTAGCCACTGACCAAACGGTCCTTCATTACTAATCAATCTCAGCAACTGAGACTATAAATTTTACAAAGTTTGACAAATTCATAGTCTTTGTTCCTACGTCTGATCACATAGCAGTTTCGTGATATACCTGATTTCCCTCACTGTGATTTATTTTGACTTGAATTAATTGACTGCAAATATCTTGTGAGGGAAACAAGTGGCCTTCACATAGGGCTGATGCCCAGCTGATGATTAGAAGATGTTCCCGAAGACAGCGCCAACCGGTTTTGTTTTCGTTGCTTCGTAACCGAGGGAACATTTAAAGCCAGTAACTTGACCTCATTCCTTACTGCTGAAGCCGGGTTTAAGCTTCCCTCCAGTATGAAAGCTGAAAGGTAGAGGTCCTAGAAGTAGCTCAAACAGTCTGCAGGTAGGTTTAAAAAAGACTTGCCAAAACCGTGCAACCAAAAGTCGCAGAAAGAATTTGGATGGGTTAAGAATTTCTCAGAATTATCGACCGACAATGAAGGCAAACGTCATGTTCCTTCAACGCTATTTTAGTATTGTCCGTGAGAACTGGGCTTAAATACTTTGGGTCTCGAAAGATCAGTAGGGACAGGATTGTCAATACAAGGCGAATGATAAACTTCTGCAAATAAAACTATGTTCATATGCTGATTCCTGCTGGTGATGCGGTGTCACTTGTAGAGAATTCATTCCAAGACCAAAGTGGCTGACCCAACCAGTTAATAGCCGATCGGTGGTACTGGCCGATTATTTATTGAAGGTTATCATTCCAAATTCATACGCGAACATAATTTAAGTGAGTGATAGAAATGGGTGGGCAAATTATTAACACACTGGAAGACTAATCCAATATGGTTACAATCATTGGGATTACTTTGTTACATTGTTACAATTTCGCAACATTACTCTAAGTAAGCCACTTTTTACTCAACAGTCACTGGGTAACGACCAACACTTGGTTATTTTTCGTAGAACTGCAGAACTCGGTGTACCTGTTTACTACAATATATTGTTAAGAACGCTTGAAGGTCTTTGAAAAGTTAACAAAGTTTTGACTTTTGTTTCTGTTGCCGTGTAGGGGGAATCCCACACTTTTCGAAAATACCTAATACTTTTTTGATAACTGAGAGCATGCTGACTACTCAAAAGCCACTCACTCAAGCGAAGCGAACTGATGTTTAGCAAGCAGACAGAATTATTGCTGGAGCAGGCACCCTTATGCGCTTTGGGTGGCGATTAGTGCTATTTTGGTCACTATAGGAGACAAAGTTGGATGATAAAATTTAACTCGTCATAATGGATTGCCACCATAGTTCCAAAATTACTACGTCCCACGTAAGGAAAGCCAAACTGAAAGCATCGTTGATGCTGTCGGAAACGATTTGTAGATCTGGCGACAAGATCCACAAAGACTACAGTCTGTAAATCTGACAAGCGAGACCTGACAAAATGATGCTTTGACGCCACGTTTTGACTTCGTTGAACCTTGAATTTTCCGCGGCCGACAAAATGAAATATTTTGGTCTTGAATGTAAAATCTTCAGTTTCTTGGATTTTCCAAAACTGGTAAAGCCGTGAAAAATAAAGGTCTTGCATACGGGATAAAGCAGCAGAGTATACGAGGATAGGCGAATCTAATTAACATAAATCTCGACAGTCCATTAGTTTTGAAAATTGAAATTATGACTGTTTAAAATCTAATAGTTTTCAATTCCTGTGCGCCTTCACTAATTACACAGTTTTCTGTTTCTCCGTGACCGTTTTTCGTGTATCCATACCCTTACATCGCTTGATTTTACTCATCATACGATGAAGCTAAAGCCGAATTAACATGACTGCATAGTGTACGCATAATGCTTAGTAAAACTTTGTAAGCTTCAATAACTATTCGATCTAGGATTGTAACGGTGTATATTACTGATGAGGCATGCGAGTAATGTCTGGTGTGATGTCCAGGCTCTGTCCCCTGCATATGATGAAAGTTGAAGGTTACTACAGAAATTATGGACGTCCAGAAATGTCCAAGAGGTCGCTTGAAAAACTTTGCTTCACAAACCTCTGTGCTGATGAGATATTTAATTTTGTATTTAATGACCGTAACCGCTTAGTTTGTGTTTCCTAGTAAGCAACTTCGCTGCGAGCAGCATCTTTCCTTTCACGACTGTATCCCTCGAAGTTTTGCTTTGTCGTACGGTTCCAGCATTGCTTAATTATTCCGTTTCTCAGATCGCCCGATTAATTTCGTTCAGTTACACATGATGCCAGTGGCATGATGTCAGTCACCACTGTTTGTTTTGGAGAGATGGTAGAATTGTATATAGAGCGTTTCGAGAACAAGTATTATTCGTGTCACTGTCTTCTGACCAAAGCTTTTTATTACTTGGATAATAGGGTCAGTTCACACAAAGTGAAGTAGTAATTACACTAGTTCTGCCGTAACTGCAGTTAGTTGGTAAGACATATCCTTGGTCGTGCCCGCGTTTGAACTCCAGACATCTGACGAGCGAGGCTCACGTGTTACGACCGAACTTTACAGGCACTTGGATTGTCACGCTTATGCAAGTTCAAATGTCCGTGCAATGCGTGGCAGTGTGTGGTGGCAACCTTCTGGCCTTCTGTGCTATTTTCCTGTACGTTTGATGATAGATACTGCTGATAATTTTTGAAAGATAGCAACTCGAGTTCAGTGTTGCTCCGGTTGGTGTGACAAGTTGCGTCACGACTGGAAGAGTACTGTCTAAACGTGATCGATGCGGACACAATGTTTGCAGTCCCCTAGCTACTCAAAATTGCACAATTAACTATTTGGAAGTGTAATATGGTGCGACTGCCTGGATGCTTGACAGGGTTGAAAAATATTGAATAAATCTTTTGTTCATTATATGCTGATGTTCTGTCCGCCTTGATTTTGAGTTAATTGACGATCATGGACGTAAGAAAGAGTTCATTGTAACCCCATTATGTGAACATCGGGACAAATACGATAACTACAAGTGAAATATACCTTCGCAAGTCCACAAAGTTGCAAAATTATGATAGCGTATTTAGTGCTTTCTGCTGAAAACAATTTACGGAGTAATCTTTCACACCCTTCACCGTACTTGGAAGACACCACATGTGTGCCTTATAGTGCATGCTTTCCATTTGTTGAAATGTCCTGTTTTCCCAGCGTCCTCATTATTTCAGGGGATTTCTGATAAATTGGTCTTTGTTAGACTGTCTGCTTTCGGCAAGGTTCGCTTTACCCAAACAGTTCTCGCCAGTTGACTGAGTGATCATCTCTTTTATTCTGCTTTCTCCTTCACAGCATTACCAAGGCCAATGGAATTACATTTACTTTTCCCTAAAACGATTGATCAGTGGACTAGTGGCAAACTTGAAGATGCCTATGAGCATTTCATACTCGAATGGGGAGCAGGCCCTGCTACGAATGTACAAACAGGCGTAACTCCAGTTCTACACTATCGTGTGGAATATTTACTGCGAACGGCTAACATAAGTAGAAGAGTAGGCAATGTCACATCAGATTATCCTACGAATATACTATGGTCATTCGATTCAATGAACCGTTGGCTTACATTGGCACCAGTACGTGCCCCAGCCACAAAGTTCAACTTTGCTCCCGCTGAAGACAGTCACGTGGATGGTCAGCAGCCGTATCAGAAGCATCTGGAAGAATTACGATTCCGCGTGCGCAGCTATGGACTGATGAGCCGCAGCGAACCATCGGAGGAACTCAGAATAATTCAACCTGTTTTGGGTTAGTAAACGGAATGTTTTGTTCTTTGTGTAATTACTCGAAAAAGTCTCTCAAATTTTAATGGTGTCAAAATGTATATATCTTTTGTCATCGATACCTACTGTGGCACCTTTAATACTATATGAGCATTTGACAAAATTAACTAAAACGTGCGACTCCCATCAAATGTACATAGAAGAAAAACAGAGATATTCTGTTCTTCAAACCCAGGACAGTGATATACTAACACAACAGTTCATTCTCAATAGCTAAACCAAGGAACGAATCACTGTACATGCCGGGAATCAATACTTTAAGTTGATTATTCTCATGTTTATGACTTACCATCCTGTTTAAATCGGATGTGTCAAAACGAGATCGGGTTTAATTTTATCTAACAAACTCTCATTTTGAGTGGAGGAAATGGAAAGGGCATGTTTTCCAGTTGGTCGGAGAGGTACGTGCTCATACAACGAGCACTCAGCGAATGAGAATGTTTCATTATTTTGTACCTTGTTCTTTCCTCCCATCTCAGTGCAAAACTTACATGTGCCACATACAAAACGTTAGATTAGTCACCCACTCAAGATTAAATCTTCCAAGACAAGTAGGTTTATTTTGAGATCCTTCCTGATTAGCAACTATTAATACGACGAAGTTATTGTTTTACATTACAAAACGATTGGTATTGAGCTTGTGATCTTTGAAACATGTTACACCCACCAAACCATAATGAAAATCTTGTTCGAAATGATAGCTACTTGCTCGCTTGTCTTCCAGTAGCTTGCCAGTCATTGTGTTATCGGCGTTCACAGTGACGTTACTAGCTTTGGGCCAGCTGGAGCTGATCAGTTTAATGCAACTGTTTATACGCAGATTGCTCTCCAGGACTGAGACTCAATAAAATATTTCAACGCCTTTTAATTCTGCAAGCGATATCACCTTAAGTCCACTATCATAGAACCACCTCTAACATAACCAACAGAAAAATTTTTCAGATGGAATTTCAGAATTCCTCTGCCACCTAAAGTAGATGTTGATCATCATTCTCAGCTATCTCCATGCTTGATGATTTATAGACATCTGTTCTGACTGATGAGGGTTGAAGTGACTTCTTAGTTTGCACGCTCTGTGTGTAAAAGTTTTGGCACGACTTGAAGATATTTCCTGTCACACAAGTAGCAGCTTCACTAAAGTATTTGAGTTGGTATGTATGAGATTTGTGACTCAAGTTCCAAAAGTTGTCTTGAAAATGAACATTCATACCATAAAAAAGGCTGATGGAACGATTCAAACTTTCTCGAGCCAGAAGAGGACGCATGCACAAAGCAGTTTAATGACACGTTACTGGAAGCGTTGAGTACTAGGTTTGCCACTCCTTTTTCTCATCCGTTTCGCTACTTCACTCAGCGGACAGGCAAATCTGTATCCCTCTTCAACTAAATATGGTGTCTCTGAAAAAAGGACTCAAAAATTCGAACTTATTCGGACAGAATTAATTTATGATCCAATGGTTAGCTTGGAGAAAATATGGAATAATTCATGGCTATCAGCTTTCACACTTATGTTGTTTTGCTGAGCGGGTTTTGTTTAATAAATTAAGTGGCACCATCCACTGGACGACTGTATGCTCATTTTAGCGAAAGTCAACAAAATACTGAAAAGGGAGATGAACACCGTAAGATGACGGAAGAAGCAGCCTAATGCACGTCCATTTTCATATAATTGAGTAACTCAACAGCATAAATAGAATCAGATCAATTACGCGGGCGTAATTGACGAGAACGATGTGCATCAACTGCACCCTTCATTTTCTAATAGTCTGTCTGGTCGGGACTGGATGTGCTAGCAACGCGGGGCCACATTGCGGAAAACTAAATAAACCAGCTATATGAAATCTATTTTACCTTATAAATCAGTTAGTAAGGCGGAAAAGCCACAGGGATCTCCACTAGTTCTTGACATATCCTTAAGATTCCAACTGGAATCAAGAGAGGTGAAACACTTAAAATAAAGTATTCGCGCTAATTCTTTGAGGAAAATGAGTACGTTAGGGGCAGACTGGAAGAATAGCAACAACTGACTTATTGGTCGTCATTCATCGAAGCTAAACGGTATCTACTGATGCATCCAGAGAGCTGATGCCTCGTGCTTGGCAAATCAGAACATTCGATTTTTAGCACAACGATTTTGTTGTACAAGACCCCTTCACATGCTAGGATTGCGAGAAATCTAAAGAAATAATGCCATTCATCTAATGATGCGAAAATTACATACATCGCCTTTTGACCCTATTCCTGAATCCTAGGTGTAGCGCTGTTATTCACCCTTAGTTGGGCCTCAGAATGAGCTCCAATAGCCAGCTTAACCTTGTTAAGTCAAGCAGCTGGATCAGTGCACAACAGCATCAGAGCAATAGGCTTGCAATAGAGATGTTGATCCGATACGTAAGAACGCATGTGCAGCATGCGGTGTCCAATTTCAGATTATTGTGCTGGAATCCACACTAAATGGGTGGCCTCATACGGCGGCCCAATCTTCACATCTGCCTTCTGCTATAGGTGGGTCTGCCCAAAAATTTAGTTTTCCAGTCGGTTACTTTCTTAGCCTCTTTGAAATTCGAGGAACGTACACTAATTTCTACCTACTGCTGAATTCACGACTGTTCTTAGTAGGGAAATGTTAAGCGGTTTAAATGGATCAGGCCTATACCACAGTACGAATAACGGGCAGTAATCACGATGAGTTATAGTAGTGCGTGGGGTTTGTGGAATTTTCACTCGCATAATTTCTGAACAATCCTCCAAAAGGCTGATAACTGGGCTGAGACGTCAGCATTTCCAGTTGTGGACGTTATGTGGCGCTTCGCTTATTAGATGGTATTTTCGCTAATATTCGTGATGTCACCACGGATAACTGTGCATATATCATGTATGCACTAAGAAAAATTGATTCGTCACTCGTTCCCTCGGTGCAGAATACTGGACAGGGGAAAACAAGACAATTACGATCAGTGACACTACCTCCGTAAATCATTTCTATCCGCAAAACTATTTGAAATTTCTCAAATCAGAAAGAATAAATTGTTGTAATAAATTGGTGGGCTCTGGAAACCTGTCAATAAATCCTTCTTTTTGGAAGAGTTTGGAATACATTTGTAGAAAAGTTCATATCTTGATACTGAAGCATCCCCAGACTAAAGGATTGGGTTAGTTTTGTCATTAAGCGAGATCTACTAGTTGCGGGATAAATAGTGTCTTCTACTCTCAAACAAGACTGTGTCGCATCCTCAGCCTGATCTGGCTCTATATAGTTGTGGTGCTTTTTAATTTTATGAGAACAACATTGAATTATTCATTGTCATCATCATTGTCATTCATGAATGGCGGCCAGTAAATAATGTTCACAAGGAACTCATGCTAGAGGGTTTCTCGTGGACCACACTAAGCGTCGAATCATCACTAAAGAATAAGTACAGTATTTCGTTCTCAGCCAGCCGAAGTCGAACTGAAGACAACATCAGAGGGTTGTGTATTCAGTTGTTTTCCAGCGAAAATGTGTTTACATTGGCATGATACTACTATACTTAAAGAATATAAGGCAAATTATTGAGTTACAGTTTGATCCACCAGTCAACATTTTCTGATCCCTTGCCGTACAGGAAAGATTCTGCCCGCTTTGAAAGCTACAGTACACCGGGAGCATATCGCAATTGAAAGGGTGTTGCATGCTGAGACTACCTTCACAAACCTACCGGAGAAAGTGCACCACAATACCATGAACGACGAATCTTCGATTACGACTCCAAGTTCAGTTGGTGCCCTGGACACACTCTGGTATACATTAAGCTATTCTTTGCTGGGCAGCTTGCTGTTGAGCCTCCTTCTTCTTGTTGTCATTTATGGGTCACGCAGAATTCGACATCACAGGAGCAATAAGAAGCGTATTACTAGAAATCAGGAGGAAGCGATCGCACTCAAAAATCCACGTGTGCCGGATTCAAACGCTTCTGTTTCGAGCTCCGAGCACTTGATGCGAGAAGTAAACATGTTGCATCCAACCACCAGGCCATTTCCACCAAATTCGTATAAACTAATTCATTTCAAAAAAACATGTTTATCACCTGATCCATGTAACTGGAACAATTCAAGTTGTCTGGTACACAATGACTTCAAAGGCAATGCGAAATTCGAGGAATTACACCCCATTCCAGTATGTTGCCATTCAAGAGAGGGAAATTGTGAATCTTGTCAGAGTAACTGGCATGGGCACAGCCAGACAATGATTTGGAAGGATGACCATTATCTTGCTTCATTGGATTCGCCGCAGACATCCATTTCTATCGCTTCAGGAAACACAAACCGCTCGAACAATTTAAGTGGGTCCATCTATAATATTATTCTTGTTTGTTCTTTGTATGCAACAAAAAGCCATTTACAACAATTCTGACAAGGAGAGATGAATATAACATATGGAGACTGAACCTACAAATAGTTGGTGAGCCCCAATAAGGGGGAAACCAGTCGTGAGCCATCAAAGAATTTTCAGCAACCTTATGAGTAGTGTCAGGTGTATACAAAACTATAAGCTATCTTGATAAACAAATCTCATAAATTGAGACCCAGTTGCTGAAATTCAGCAGAAAGGATAAGAACAAACAAAAAGACGTTTCGTACTACCCTTGCGCCTTCCCACGTCTATTGATCGATCACAAGAAAACTAAAGGTAGACAGTCACATTCGGGATGCGATAGGTTGACGACTTTGGATTTTCCAAGCTATAATTGTTTTATAACCAAGTAAATGGAAAATCTTCCGTATTAGATACGACACCCATGAGGCAAGATACCAATCGATTTCGTGATTTGCTCGTGATTGCGAATATTACTAGCAGTTGTTGCGACTCGTCCAGGAGGCGGAAATTGCCAGCGCAGCCGAGTTCACCAGTCATGACTTTCGCGCTTTGCTGTCAAATCACAGACTGGTCAATCAATACTGTTTCGGCCCTTCATTGATGTCACGTCAATTGAGATTACGTTTGTGACGCATTAGATCTAGGTTACATTTGCAATGAAGTCCGACGTGAACAGAAGTTGTGGATTTTGCATAAAGTTGCATTGATTCAAAGTTTTGTTACGCTTCGGTAGTGAGCACATAGTCCATAGGTTTTGTGTCAGTTGATGACTTAAAGAATGCAGGATTTGGATGATCTAGATAGTGAGAATAAATCTGATTTATTGGAACTCTGATATGTTCAACCGAAACTACTTGTTATGTGTTGGTAAATTGTGTAGGCCCAGAACAGACATATTTTTGAATTATGTAGCGTTGCCACATTGCAATCTGTTCGCAAGTTTAGAACAGTGTCAAAGTTCTTTAGCATAACTAATCGTCCGAGTGTGCCAGACAGGATGAACGTACGTAGATGCGGATATTTGAGTTCATAATTTGGGGCTGATGTACCCAATATTCGAGGCAGTATCCGAGTCAAACTGGCAGGGAATTACAGTAAATTAACATCTCCCTAGTTTGTCATCCAATCAGGCAGATGGAAAAGAAAATACGTTTGCTTACCTTTAAAAACATAAAACAAAAATCGGCAAGCTATCAGGGTACTCAGCCGTCTTTGCCCCACATACTCTCTGCCTAGACAATGAAATCCTGCATTTTATGGGAAAACGAGTCCAGAAGCGTGGCTGTTTATTTCCCGAACATTCGAATTTGACGTGAGTGACTGAGTCTGATTATTGGATTGCTAAGCCATTTTAACTGAGCACGCTGAGGTGCTCATTTCAACAGCCATCGAACAGCTGAATCAACCTCTGTTTCCAGTAACAGTGGCCATTCAGGTGGGATGTTTCGAAGCTCACAATTCGCTAGGTTGACGGCATTAAATTACACTAATGTTTAAGATATTCCTAATTGACATGTTATGCAATTTCATCTTTACGTCTATGATTTATTTGTTTTAGTTCTCTTGGATAAACCAGATAGTGCGTGCACTCCGAAGTGAGTTTGAATTCCGAACCGCTAGAGATTTATATGCTGTTGCCTTGGTTATTGCAGGTGGTGTGCCTTAAATCAAAGTAGGATATGCCGTAAACTCTGAGTAATAAAAAAGTAGAGCAAATCGTCATATGTAGCGCAAAGTCTTCTTTTCGCCGATGTCATTGCAACATTTGCCAACTGGCCTCAGGCACACTGACTTGTCACATTTTATTCCCTTAAAGGCCATAGTTTGTTGCCGTTGTTGTCGGGTTTTTGACCGCATATATGATGAATGGGTAAATTTAGAATTTGCGTAAATTTTTAAACCAAGAAATGTTCTTATTGGCTTAGAAGGATGAGCTTTTTTTCCTGATGGAAAGAAGGCGACTTCAAACGAACGAGGAAGTGTATGTCCTCAGCTAGAGGGCAGGTGACCCACAGCTACGCAGTTTTTGACACGTACCGAAACACGTGTCCACATCAAAAAAAGGTGAGGACCTGACTTTCCTCATAATCATAACAGGGCAGTTGTGCTAACAGATGAGGCAGATCTTGCAGGTATGTTTGCATAGCAAGCAGAGTTGTCTAACGTGACTAACTGTGAAGTAATCGGAAGAAATGTTTTTTTTAAAAAAACAACGCTTATCTTTGCTCGTTATCCTTTTAAAACCTATTCAAAGATGCACAAACAATTGCGAATTGGTTTAATTTATGGTAATCACCACTAGCCATTAAATTTTATCCGCATTTACCACAGATCACAAAGCGCAGTCACCTGATTAACTACCGGGGCTTTTCGTGTCTTTATGCTTCACTAGGTAAATTATAAAGCCATGCCGAAAACAGACGATGCTTGTATGTGAACAAAGCGTGTGTTCAAAGTGTGGAACAGCTGATGCACTTAAGGACAGAGGAATAGCGGTCCATTTGTGAAGTGAAATCTTAGACGTCACAGAGACTGAATCGCGCATTAACAGTTACAAGTTGCGACTGAATATACTCTGGTTGTAGACTAAAGATTTTGTAGATGTATTGTAATTGGGTTACTCGTATGGCTGTTTCCTGCAGTAGAAGGACTTCGCCCCGTTTTTCACTCACTTTCGTTCATTCATTTGCTGCTACTCCGATATCAACTATAAAATTTTAGGAAATATCTAGGTATTGTTAGGATGAAAACTTTTTTGTCCGAAGAATATACTGCAGTCTGTTTCCAGACGCATCGATATATCAACTGCGAGACAATCAAGGGAAAAGTAGTTAGTCTACTACTAATGTGGTCAAACTTTTTAATCATCTGTGCCGACCATGTTCTGCGAAGACAAAGCCGACTGTGTGATATTATGTCGATTTTTGAACCATCGATCAACATAAACTTCTGATGCCCAACGAAACTTGGTAGCAATGAAGTACAGACCCAATTTTACCAACAAAGTACTGGACCGTATATACGATTGGAGTTGGGCTTCGCTTAGAATAATTTCACTTTTTATATGCTCGAGTGTGCAGTTTAACATCCATAAGAAAGTAGCAGTAACCAGTTCCAACCGAACATAAGGTCACTGCTACCCCAGATTTATACTAGTGAAAGGAAGAGGGCCTTTGTTGAGGAGTTATTTATTAGGAAATGCCAACTGAACAGTTACAGACTATTGGACAAAGAATCAAACTCTCATATGCATCTTGTTTACAAAAACTGAATATCTATCTTCTTTGAACGCATCTTCATGAACTTTTCTGGATATTCCTTGACCGTTGCTCAAATCCAAGCGAGTGCCTCAAAGCGACGCTACAAATTCCGTAGTAGATCTCACTTTTCAAGAGACGCAAAGCGGATTTACGAGGAACCATACCACTCACATGCCTTCCCCACCAGTAGTACCACCGTCACACTAGTACATTTCTTTCTTCCCATCTTTCATCGCCATTTAAAAATGCCACATCTCATCATCTTTACCGGCTCTCGCATTCTTCAATCAATACCTTCATCTGAACACGCAGACGAACTGAAAACCTGTACTGAGAAGATATGGTTCTTGAGATGTCACAAAATTACCAGCTGATTGCTGAATCAGTCGTGTTGAATGACTGCGAAGTTTATCTTTGTAATGTACTACTCATAAGGTTGATGAAAATCCATCGACAACCCACGACCGGTTTCGCCCTTCTTGGGGCCTGAGAACACCATAAACGAGAGATTCAGCTGGGTTCCAGGTGAGTCTCTCGAAAGAGCTAAATTAGTTTGCAAATGAGTATATCTTCGCTAATTTCGTGCAATTTGGTTTCAAGTAGAACATAAGGTTGACGGAAACCCGGGGACTGCGCCCACCTGATGAGCCCAAGAAGGGCGAAACTGGTCGTGGGCTGTCGAAGTATTTTCAGCAACCTTATGAGTAGTACATTACAAAGATATACATATGTCGCGATATTTCAAATATCGTAGCGACTGAAACATGAGGCGGCCTGGTGCAGCACATTCCGTTGCCTGAGAACATCATAAACGAGAGATTTAGCTGGGTTCCAGGTGAGTCTCTCGAAAGAACCAAATTAGTTTGCAAATGAGTGTATATTCGCTAACTGTGAAGTTTAATTCGAAACTACAGAGAGACAGATAACATAAAGTATCACCTAGAACAAAATGTCTGCCAAACAATTCACTAAAAACGCTAAAATACTTGCATATTATACTTATGAAAGGCTAATCAAACTAGTCACTTTGGTGCCGGGTTCCATACAAATGCTAAATGGGATAATTTCTGCTGTCCAGTAATGCCTAAATTTAAATTTTCTGTAGTAAAATGACAAATTCCACCCAGATAGTTTTAGGCCACCCAGATTGAATCCATAACCGATTGTTACGGTATCAAAAAACAGTATTTTCCAATTCATCAGGTGATTTTTGGTTTTGAGTATGTCTTTATTCTGCACATCAACCCTTGCTACCAACCTAAAACAATCATGGTTATTTCATTGTGCAAGGAATCACTAGGTTGAAGACGTTAATCGCAACGTAAAACTGGACTGTCTGGTCGGATGTACAGTAACGCTCGTCACCTTCCTGGAACAAAACACCAAATTCTGAATGAGATGTGGGAGCTGACTAGCTTTTCGCCCAATTATTGCCGATTACTGACCGAGAGTACCTTCCGAAGTATTTTTCAACCCTATTAATAGCTCAGCTTATGTAAACCGAAGTTCAAGCGTGTCTCTTACAGGTAGTCTACGGCAACTCAGAACTGCTACTTAGCTAGTGGTGAATTTTTGCCAGCAGTCCCAGATGCATATCGCATGAAGACATGTGGAAGTCCTCATAGAAGCTCAAATAAACCCTAAATGGCTATGTGTACTACCTACTACCTTGAAAAATTCAGAAAGCAAACACTACTTTTTCACACAAGAAGTCCGTCTGCTACTTATATTTACTCACTCTCGGCCGAAAATTAGCAGCTTTCCAAGATCCAAATATAAAAACACTTGTAATCAAGTTTATTCACCAATGGCACCCATTCTTCGACAAGTTCCTGGTCGGGTCAATTTATTTGTAATCAGTTTAGTAGAGACAGTTGAAGATTCCTAATCTCTTGTTTGTTGCTAAAAGAATCCGCAGTTTACTGAACCTAAACATGAGGTTTATTTTCAGCGGTAGTTTTTCCGGTTTGGCTCTGGTTCTGTCAATTTTTCTTCTAGCGGCATTTTTCTCATGGCTGTACTTTAAAGTGGAAGTTTTTCACGATCTGTTTGTCACTGACTGTATTACCTGCAGATACGACGTTGACGTATGGGTTGCGGCAAATTGAATGATTTAGACTAAATGTTATAGGGACAAAATTGTTTATGTCCACATGTTGGTGCCCTCTGACTAAAAGGGAGCAAAATTTAAACAAACATTTTTTGCAATCCCTTTACAGTATTTGTTTTGTTCGGTAGCTTTCATCGCTGGTTAATTATGCTCAACTGTCAGGATAGATTTGTCAAAAAATATGTATGCGGAAAGCCATAGTACATCAGTACTGTCTCCCTTTCGAACAAGAGTGACGTAATGAGTGTGACATATGTACGCATCATCAGCATACTCCCTAAATGGTTCTACGATCGGGGCCAAACTGAGAAATATATTCTTCGCCTGATCACAAAATTACAACACCCCAGAAAATGCTTCCAATTTACGCAACCATGCATACTTTTATACTAGATCCACCAATTTATTGTCTACAAAAATATCGTGAAGAGCTGAAAGAGGGTTATCCTGGTAGCGGGTGAAACAGGAAGGTATTTACTGGAGTTCTACCGCTGTCGAGCACTACGGCTGCTCAAATTTGTGTGCTTGATCAATCAAGTATTCTAAACAAAGTTTAGAGTTACCAAATGAAGTGATTACAAATAAGGTAGCTCCACTTTGGTTTTTTACGAAACCATACATCGCTAAGTCACACTTGTCTAGCTCTTTTCAGAAACCCCCAGAATTCGGTTAGTGGTGAACTACATCGCTTGCCCTTGTCACAATATTCCTATGCTCTATGTCGCAAGGAAAAAGGTTATTAGTTAGTTCTCTAACATGAGTTTCCATGTTCAAGATACTAGTTCTCCGCAGGGAATTTGTACTTCCACGAAACAAAAGATACAGTCGGTTAAGCAATGTTCACCTGATGTATCAATTTTGAATTTCGTACATAACATCTATGAGCGATCTATTATTTTTACTTGCAGAATGTTGCATCAAGTCAATCAGTCAGACGTTACTGCTTCCCAAAGAAAAGATGAGCAATCGGAGGTAGATCACAAGTCCAGATTTGTCGGTGATTCAACCAAAGCTTCAGCCTTGCTAGACCTCCTTGTTGCGCCATCAGCATCTTGGATGGAGTGCAGTTATGGATCAACAATGCCAGTATCGTCCCCACACCTCGTTAAATCACTTTCGACACCACCGGGTGCTGCATTTATGTTACTACCACTGTACACAGATGATTCCCCGAAACCTTTAGAATTGAGCGTACTGCCGTGTGAAACTTATCCTCTACCCATTGTGACTCCCGTCGCTTCTCCGAAAGAAGCCACTAACTTATATCAGACCTACTGCCTTGTAGCAAAAACTGAACTCTCAGAGGACCAGCCAGGGTAAACACGGTGTTTTCGAACTATTCTGCATTTTTCAAACATACCCCGAAAACCGAGTATCGTAACTAATATTTTGATACAAGTGAATGATATTTTAAAAACCTCTTTTCCTTTTTATTTGTACCCGGGTGAGTCGCTATACAAGCAATCTTTCAGCTAGTACCCAGTGGGAGATTACAGATACTTTGCGGTATGCCGCGCACATTTCCCCATCCATCATTAGGTAAAACCTGTTCAGACCAACAGCCGAACAATGTCTGGATAACAAAGATGATGAAACGTTCATTGTCTATAGCGGGTATAACCTTCAACAAAGTAATTTAGTGCATGAATTATATATGAATCCATGTGTAAGTCATGGATTTGGTCGAAAGCAATATACCGCCTCTTCTCGTAAGTACATTCTAGCAGTGATCAAATTCCCCATTTGTGATTATGTGGTTAACATTTAACCAGTATAACTAGCATCTAACCAAAAATGAAAAGTAACAAGCAGTACACTTTTGGGTGCCTAGCTGCTGTGCTACCCGGGCAAGCGTGAGGCCAGGTTGTTCAATTCGAGATGTAGAGACATGGCATTCCATCCAGTCAGTAGTTTCTAACCTATATAACTGAGCTTTCTCGAGCTTAAGTTGCAAAGATGCTCATAAGGGATTCAGAGACAGAAAAATAACTTCACGATTTCTGATGTACACACCATTGCCGGATTACGTTTTGAAACATTAAGCGCATTAGCGACCTAAACTTCACGGGTTTCTCGGCGTATTCTACGATACTGCTGCAGGAATATTTTTTGATTTGTCGCAACTTCCACACCGCACCCTCCACAGCTTTCACCATCTTGTCTGTAGTTTTCACTGAATAGCTGGGGACATATCACAATGAGTTTGGACTCTTGCTGGGCAAGCATGGTTGGACCCACGACTGTCGATTACGTGCAGAACTTGCTGAATGGTTGCATTTGTTGGATTAAACCGTTTTTCTCAAGCCTATCATATTCGTGTTCAGCAACACAATCAGTATTTATTTATCTTCAATATGCTGAGATGTCGAAGACGCATTTCAAAGTTTGGAAGCCTTAGTTGCAAAAGTCTTACTTATGATAAAGAGAGATCTTGCTTCTGACAATTATAGGGGCACATTCACCGACTGTGGCATCAGTGATCAAATGATCTACCTTGATGCCTGATATCTAGCCAGTCATTCATCTACCGAAACAAGAGGACCTTTTCTAACTTTAAGAGTTATTAGTCTTTTTGATAATATGAGGCTTTAAGTTTTTACTCCTAAGACGCTGAATGAAACGCGAATAAGCCTAGCCACTCTCAGATCTGTGCGTTTGACATTTTGTACTCTCAGAAATGAATAGAAGCCACCATGCCGTGAGGTGTTACCTCCACAAGCTGTCAACTGATGAAGAGGCGGATATAGATCAAAAGCGATTAAAAAACATGAGTTTCCGAGGCAATGAGGTCTTATAGGTAACAGGGTTGCATTATGATATAGGGTAGGGAGCGTGAAACGCAGCAGATGCCATTGACAGAATGTTGATCACAACACGAAATAGATGGAGTTCATCTTGC